GAGGTCCGTTCGTACGTTCTCTTCTTCCAGGCGCAATAATAAAAAGCGCGAAATAATGAAGCGATGGAGGTAAAAAGAGAGGAAAAATTTACTCGATTGTCCGCTTTTCGAAATCGCGGATAATAAAGGAATGCAATTACTCCCGTTTTCGAACCGTCATCGTCGTCCACCGCGAGCATTTCTCATCTTCGGAACAAAAAACGGAAGCATCCCCTCGCCAGTTTTACCATCCCCCCCTCCCGATAAAACATTTGAAAGGCCTCTCCTATCCGAAATGGCTCGCGAAACGCGCAATTAACGCCCAATTACCCGACCGGTGTAGTCGGTCACCGCGTAATTACATTCGCTGCCCTACCCTTTAAAACACGCTTATTTATGTACTCTCATTTCGCGGCCGTTCGCGGCGTTTATGGTTTCCGGCGCATCGGTAAAAGCAGCAACGATAAAATCGTCGATGGCCCATGCTTCTTTAAAACGAGTAGCGAAAAAACAAAATGGGATGAATTGGTTCTGCGAAACTTTTTTTTTTCTTTTTTCACGTGGAGAACATCCTCGTGGACGTTGAATTGGTTCTGCGTAAACTTTTTTTTTTCTTTTTTTTTTTGTTTTTTTTTTCAATGTGGAGAACATCCTCGTGGTGGACATTTAAGATTTGTATCGTCGAGTAAAAAATGTCTCTTTCTTTCGACAGTTTTTTTTATTAGAAACTCTGACTAACACGTTGCGATTTTTTCGATTTTTGTACTTGATACAATTAGTAGGATTATATTTCTTAAGGATATTTTAAAGCTCTATACTAACAATGGCTTCTGTCGAAGTGGCGTTGATTCCTTTTTGCCATTATCACGGATTAACATTCTGACACGAAAAATTTTGAATCGCAAAGAGAAAGCGACGCTTTTTAAACAGAAATAAATCGTGAAGGAAGCGTACCTTCCTATCGACAACGTATCATTGTATGAGAGTATAGAGCTCATCTCCTCGTGATTTCCGCTGACAATCTCGAGGATATATCCTCAAAAATTGAGAAATCTGAAAAGAAGAGGAATGGCGAACTAACCATCAATCGCAAGCAGGCTGTGCTTAAGATAGAAAAGCAACGGCCTTTCTAGAAAGAGATTGCACATACAACTATAACAAATAACGATAACAAATGGCGAATAACAGTTGGACGAGACTAGAATATTGCTTGTTTTTTCTTTTTTCCCCCCAATGTTTTCTATGTTTCGTCGTTCACGAGCACGAGTTAAACAGATCGCGTGAGAGATAAAAATTAATCATCCGCATTTTTATCGAACGAGGCCCGAGGCCAGCCAGGCTGTATCGAGCCTCGACGTGTTATTATCGTTTGCATTTCCTGGCGACGATACTTTAAATCATCCCGAAAAACCGAATGTACGAATGTCATCCCGATAATTTTTTGCTAATTAATTACCGCGGCAATAATTCTCCTCCAATCGTGTGGAAATCCAGTTGACGAGCGGCGAATCGAAATGAAACCGTCAATCATGATAATGGAATAATTCAATACGTTCCGCAAACTTGGAATGGAGATAAATAAAAAGCGGGAAACGTTTCATTAATTGCAATCGTCCGAACCTCTTACAGATGAGATATATCGGACGGGAATTAAAAATTGTATTCTGTAAATAATCGATAAAACTCGATTACCGTTGATATTTACGTCATTGTTCCGTTCCAACGTTATACACAATTGCGAAAACCGTCTAAAATCGTTTGTAAAAATAATTCTACTCTTGAAATTAAACGCAAAATTAAATCAGAGACGCGGGATCAGCCAGGGGGGTTTGCAAAACGCGCTCATTCATCTCAATGAGAACGAACGAACGACAAATTGAACTTTCATTCGCTAAATCGCCATCAAAAAAAAAAAAAAGAAAGAAAAAAAACGCGCAAGTATGAAACAAAGTATTCATAAAAGTACGTGTACGTATGTATCAATTAAACTTTTCCATTCTCCCTCCCCCTTCCCCCCTCCCTCCTTCACCCCCCCCCGGATTAACAATGGTATATACGAAGGAGAGACACCGAGAATGGAAATTAAACCGGATTTAATAGACAGCCCCAGGTCGAAGCCGACTGCACGACCCGCACCGGCATCAATAACGTTAATTAACATATCAACGAGACAATCCCGGAGATGCGTTTCCCGGTGGTAATACCTTTACTGGCCAACCATCCCGTGTATCTGAGCTGGCTCATTCAAATCTTGATACACCGTGTGTGTGTATGTGTGTGTGTACCGGTGTGGCTCTCGGGTTCCATTGTCGCATCAAGGGTCGGATACGTGACCCCATAGCTCACCATTGTATCGGACGTATGGTTTTGAATTAATTGCCACGCGGCATCGACGAGCCACGGATTCGATTCCGACCTCCCTCCTCCTCCACCATGCGTATTTTCCACCCACGCTAATCCTCCGGCCAGATAAAACTTTTGATTAGAGTTACGACGGGGATAAGCGACTTTTATCGATCGATGCGGAGAAAAATTGCTCTTCCTATTCCTCCGCCTTTATTTTTGCCCGTATAAATATTTAAATGATTTAGATATTTTGCGTATTCCTCGGTTATTCGTATTCTCGGGAATAGTTTTGACGAAATGTAATGATTTGCATATTTTTCAATACGTACGTGAAAATGAAAATCAAATTTCGGTATTATTCGAAAAGTGAAATTAAATTAATCAATAGTCAGATCAATTACGTGCTATAATATATTTATTGAATGATTAAAGTTGAGAGAATTTGTTAAATTAATGAATGTGAAGGATTTTATTCAAGTTTGTAGACACTGTATCCGGGTTAATAAGTATTAAGTACAGTTGCCGTTAATCAAGAAACTTTCTCATACTGTGTACATTCCCGCGGTACTCGCAATTTCTTCTTTTCCCATCCTTTCTTCGAACTCGGGAACTTTCATCCGCCCCCTCTTTAATTCCTTCCTTTCGAAATTCGGGTTATTTAAAGGAACCGTCCGTATTCGAACGTCGCCCGATTTTCTGAAACGCTCGAAATCCAACGGTGTTCGTCCTATCCAAACACTCGTAATTGCATTTTCGAATAATGGCAAAAGAAGAAATTGTATAAGACGTGCTGGGTGGATTACGACCAATCATGCAAATGCATCGAATCGATTCTCCTTCTTTTTTTCTTTTCTTTCTTTTTTCTCCCATTTCAATGTACCGACTAACTAACTAACCGTGGCTGTAGGCCAGACTTCAAAAGAATTAATTTCCATAATTATCTTAATTCTCGTCGAGGAACCTGGCATTTTCTTTTCTTTTTTTTTTTTTCCTTTTCTCCGTGAAACGGAAGTAATTACCAGATTGCGTTCCTTTTTGAATTTCGAACACCATATACGAACATCTTGAACAACTCGTTACAATAGGAATGATAGGCCGACGTCGTTAATTAACGTCGAATTCGAGTAAATAGTTAGATAAAACGTCGAACTGTTTCTATGGATCCTTTCACAACATCGTTGCTCGGATCTTGGAGAACTTGGAGAATCAGCTCGTTCTTCCAGGTTTTTTTCATCGGGGAACCTATCTTGCCAGATAAATGCGAGATTACGTTAAAAAAGGGAATAGAAAGCCTCTTGTGAAGATTTTTTTTATTAAATGATGTTGAAATGTAACATTTTATCAAGATCTCGCTCTTTGAGAGATTCGTTAGGTATAAATTGAGAATAGATATTATAATATAATAGTTATTAATTATTTCACAGTGTTTCTTAAATCTAATCTAATTACTATAACAATTGTTTATTGTTTCGTTACCAATTGTATTTTCTGTTCTTTGAACATTTTTCTCGTGAAAGAAAAGATGTTCTTGATCTCGTGAAGACTATGGAGCAGGATTGAAAAGATCACGAGGAGTTGAGCGAACAAAATTGAATCGAAATATTTCAATTCGTTCGAGCAATCTGAACAAATTTTCGATAAAACTCGGGATCGTAAATTGAAATGAATTTCGTAATTGACAAATCGAGACAGATCTATTCTGACGAATAATAATCATGTTACGGACGGGGAGGGAGGCGTCTCCCTTTTACGGAGACGGCAAGCCGAATTGAATCAGCACAATTCCATCACCGTTACGTATAGCCCATTGCGTAATCGTTCCAATCCACAACCATTTACGAACGCAGCCTTCGTGGAAAGGAGAACGAATCCTTTGAAGTCGCTCCACGATCGAAGAAGCAATTCTGCCCTTCGAATCAAACCACCGACGACAACGACGACGACGGTGGCTCGTTCCATCGCGAAAAGTGGAAAGTGAACGGTGCTAATAATGTATCTGGATGTGATTCCATCGTTTGACGTTAAAACTTGAATTATACTCAATTTGAAAATAAATTAATTAAAGATACATTCTAATAGATCGTATAACTCGAACGTTTAAATCGTAAAAGTATACAAACCCAACGATTTAAAGATAAATATGTTTAAATATTTTTTTCGTTCATGACGATACGAAAAATATTTTGCATTCGACAATATGTTCATTCATTTTTCTTTTTTTTTAAGGTAAAAAATAATCTCGACGAGATTACAGTGGAGGTACATAGATATACGAAAAGAAAGAGACAAATCAAAAATGCGTTTGGTCCAATAACCGATGCGATCGTCAATATTCCACAAATATCGGTATCGAATACCACGGTCATACGTGATTGGTATCGACTCGTACGACCCAAGGACTATTACTGTCTATTCTGCTGATCTTGAAACTTGCCAATACCACGTCGATACATCTCGCGGCTATTAAATTTCCCAACTCGTGTCCGTCGAGATACTAAGACTATTTTAAACTCGTCTAGGGAACAATCATTTTTTTCCATTCTCTAATTCTCTCGCGTTGTTCCACGTGAAAAGAGAAAAAACTAATAATGGAAATAAAAGGGGATAGTTTTTATCGTTTTTATAAATTGGAATAATTAAGCTCACTCAACAATCGTATCGTCTTTTTATTGCAGATGCGAGGGTGGTTGGCTGCAGCTCGAAGGCGGTGGACGAGTTTGCGGCCCCAACGAACGCTTCGATCGACCTGTCGTGCTGTTCTCCGACAAATCAATCCCGATACTCCACATGCAGTGAGTTACATATTGTTGAATATTCGTTACATACACCGAGATTACCACGCTCGTATTTATCCGATTTATTTATTTCGTCTCGCTCGAACGGAAGCTCGAAAAAAATCGAAGGTATCGAATTTAAATATATAACGGATCCTTTTTTTTTTTCCAACACGATACGTCGTTGAATGGAAGATACTAAAATTCCGATAATTTTCGCGTTTAAACTATCGTATTAACGGGAGATTCGTTTTCAATTAACCTTATTATACCCTTCTGCATATTTTAACGTCAACAGTACGCGATATTACGCGATATCGGCAATTTGCAAGAGCTGTACGGTAAAAAAAAACTTCGTTTTCCACGTGTTATCGAGCTCGTTCGATTCGATAACCGAAGTGATAATCGAAGCTATATATATATGCTATAGGATAACAACAAAATTAGTAAAAATAAATTAGAAATAGATTATTAGAAATATAGAAGGGAAATGGAGAAGAAATCGAAGAGATCGCTGCAATCACGTTACTTACAAATCACCCTGGGCTGTAATGGAAGAGTGCAATCGGAATGAATTGCTGCTTTACAAAATCGATTTAACATCGTTGCGCGAATTACCGTGGACGCGAAGGCCGACAACGACGAAAGAGATAGAATTCTGGCTCCATTACGAAATAGGAACACGTTCTTGGCTAAGTGCTTCTTATTACTCTTACCCGGCATCGTTTCACTTAGCCCAACGAACAGCGAAAGCGTCCGCGTATCGAATTTTACCCTTGTACACCCTTCGCTTTTAACTGTGATCGATGGAGAAAAAGAAATTTTTTTATTTTCCTTAAACCTGCTAAAAAAACAAGAAACAACCAAAAAATTTGCATTCAGTAAAATTTCTTCTCGAATTTTGAAATGTGCATAGGATAAAAAAAAAGAAGTAACGATAAATCGTTACGAGAGAAATTAAATAAAATTGGTATCTATGAAACGCACAGTTGGGGAAAAGAGATTTTGTATCTGGTTTTCTGTTAATTGGATATTTCCCTTTTTTAAAATTTTCCCAAAATTTTATTCCTTTTTTTCTCGAAATTTCGAAATGTGCATACGATAATTTAAACACAAAGAGAAATAAATTGTTACGAGAGAATTTATTTAAACGAAATGGTATCAATGAAATATACAGTTAGGGAAAAGAGGCTTTGTATCTAGTTTCGTATTAATTTGGATATTTTTTTAAAAATTTTTCCCAAAATTTTGTTCCTTTTTTTCTTAAAATTTTGAAACGCGCACAGAAGAAAATTAAGCAATGAGGAGAGGTATCCTTAAGAATATACTTTTCAGTCTCTGTAATAATTAATTGGATCTTTTCCCCCCTTTTAATGCCCTTTTGTTTTTTTGAATTTTAAAATGTATACAGTAGTTCCAACGCGGTCAAAAGTAATAACTTTCGTTAGAAATGGAACGAAACAAAGAAGAGGTATCCGTAGAATATATACTTTTCTGAGTAAAGAAGGTTCTGCAGTAATTAATTGGGTCTTTTTCCCTTTGTCCACCATTCACGCGGCGTTATCCGGCGTTTTTACGTGCCTTCATTTAAATGCAAATTAATTTACCTTCTCACGAAACGGAACGGACTTACTCCATCGTCGACTGTTTCCAAGCCGCGATTACTTTTCGTTAGGAAGATCGTGTCGAGCGTTAAACTTCCCCCTCCCCCTCCCCCCTTCCTTCTCCTCTCGATCGTTAATTGCGTCCTCGTAACACGATTAATATTTCAACTGGTTATATCCCTCCTCCATCCTCCGTTCGAGTTAACAGGATGGATGATATTTAATTGACAATGTAAACTATTTTACGATGTGATTCGATTAATTGCGAAAAGCGGATGAGAACTGGCTTAAGGATTTATGAATTAAACATTTTTCCATCAAAACGTCTGATTATCTCAGTATAATCTATTAATATAATCTATCGAGTGTATCCTTCCTGTCGTTCAAGTTTTCAAATGATTTTTAAAGATACGATTCGAGTAATGAAAGATAATATTTAAATTAAAGAATATATTCTTTTATATTTTAATGAATCGAAGAAGAGTTTAGAGTCCGAGAGATGGATAAAGTAAACCTGCAATAAAAATATCTTCACTTTGCTACTACCATTAAAAAATACACTTGTACACTTTTCTTTCAAAATATTTATGAATGTATTTTTTTCTTTTTTTAAATGTACTTGTATTACTTTTCCATCGGGTTTTTCATTTAACGAATGAAAATATCTAATATTATTAAAAAATATAAAGATCTTCGATTATAAATTCAACATTATATTTCATCAACTTGGTCCAAAAATATCAAATATTTATTACGACCTCTTACTTACTTTACAATTAACTCCAAGCACTTCGTAAGACTTACCTTCAAACTCTCTCTGCGTCTTCATAATTCAAGGTATTTAAGATACAATAATAACGAAGCTGGAAATTCGTTCAAATAATTTCATTAATCGTCACGTTCCCCGTGGATGTTTCGAAAAGAAAGAAATCTAAATAATTGATTGTCATTGATTAAAGGGCGATAAAACATAATTTAAGCGAGGAGCACGTTCCTTAATTGACGAGAGATCATGAGAAAGTGCAACTATATATCTGGAAAACGTTTTTCGTTACGGTAAGCTTATTAAATATTTATGGAGAAATCACCATCCTGCTGGACGTATACGTCGAACATATACATAAAACATCAGCGTTTTCGCTACGCATCTTATGCTCTTTTTTTTTTTTTCTTTTCATCCGTCCAAAGACACCTCTCTTCGACCCTCGTGATTCTTCTTCTTCTTCTTTTTCTTTTTTTTTTTTTTTCTTACGCTCAAAGGGGCTTCGACGATTTTCATAGTTCCCTTCAGAACGCTTTCGATCAACTCTCGTTTCTCGTCTCGCGTTGTTTAAACAGGATTCTGACAAAGGAAATTCTATACCTCGTCCTTTTGTGACTTCGTTAACTGGAATCACGATAATACTCTTATGAAATTTTCTTCTTAGATCTTGCAATTTATAACATTTTCGTCCCTCCCCTTAGACGACGCTTCCCTTTCGTTCTTTCATCGGGGAATATCAAATTGTTTATCGTCGTTATAGATACTTATATCTGTTTTCTTTATACACGTTTTATACGTATTCTGATCGTTAACGTTTTTTTCTTTTTTTTAAATTATAGTATAGTTGAGAAGTTGGAAAACGAAACGATATTTTAAAGTAAAGTATCGTCTAAAAAAATGTCACATCAACTACTTTTCATAATGAAACGCATTACATCGCTGGAATGGTAGTAAGAATTCCACGAGAATTTCAAGAATCGTGGCAAAAGAACACAGGGCCATTATCTTAATGATCCAATGAATAATATCCCCACCGACGTTCATTACTTTGACACGCAGAGTTTTCCCGTAATTATTAGTCAAGGTTTTTTTTTTCTATTCATAAATGGTACCGTGTATGGAAAAAAGTGAAAGAGGAGAAAGTTTCGATATTTTTTTTCCTCTTTCTCTTTTTTAAATATATATATATGAACGATACGAATATCGCATGTTTCAATTTTCTGCAGTGCTCGCAGTGTGTTTTTCGTAGAGCAAAGTTGATTTTCACTTTTTGTAATCAACGCAGTGTCGCATTTTGTTATGTCGCTCGCAATATTTAAAAAAAAGAAAAAAAAAAGAACGAAATTTCCATTTTTTTTTTTTGTTGTAACGAAACGGTTACATTCATCTTCATGTCGATGAAAACGACTGTTCACAATGCGAAATCAATCATAGTATCTCCTATATTGGTCTACGTATTTTCTATGTATTGTTCACGTTAGGAAATCTTATCGAGATCTATTATATCAATTTCACAAAGGATCGATTCCAATCGATCGTTTCGAACTTCACCACCGTGGTTAGTCGTCGATCGTTTCACAGTTCACACGTTCACTGTGTTTCCCATCTAATCGCGAGAATTGTCAATTTTACGGGCAAGCTAACAATTCGCCGAGGACAAACGCGTTTTCAAAATAATAAATCGACTTGATTGCGCGTATAATCGGTCTCGGTTTTGCGGTTCATGCGGCCGATCTAGGACGGTTCATCAATTTCATAAATTGTCGCGCGATCGGCCTGTGGATCCACAATAATCGAACTAACTGCGGACCGACTTTATTTCCGACGATGTGTGTGTGTGTGTGTTGCGGTGACGTTAATTGGAAAATATGGAATCGAACGATTAACCTTACCAGTTCGCCCATATAATCATTTGTAGATTAATCCTTACGCACGCGAATAGAGGATATTACTTTCTCTTTCTCTTGAAGTATATCCTGAAAATTGCAGCATATAAAAATTGTAAAACTTCAGAATCGTAAATTGGAACGTTCGAAATGTTTGAAAAGTCTCAAACGAGAAATATTTAACAAACCACGGTGAATCAAGAATTGCTTCTTCGCAAAAATTCGAACTGGTTTTTGGAATCGATTAACCTTGTCCTAGTTCGTCGATTATAATCATTTGTTAGATTAATCCTTACGCACACGAATAAAGAAGAATAACAATATTATTCTCTCTTAAAGTATATTGTGAAAATTGCAGCGGCCGTATATAAAAATATCGTAAATTGAAACATTTGAATTTTTTGAAAAGTCTCAAACAAGAGGTATTTGACAAACCATGGTCGAGTCAACAGTTTCCTGTTCGCAAGAACTATTGGTTTTTATTATTCGCCAATCATGAGCCTTTGTCCCTGAAACATGGCGTTATTATTTAAACGGTTAAGGCGGCGGTAATCAGGAGCAGGTGTTGTCGAAATAAAGTGTCTCTCGCGGGAGGGGAACTGAGGTGTTGTTCGCGAAACTGCGACAAATTGTCGAATCTCTGGCAGAAAAAAAAAAAGAAAGAAAGTAATAAATAAAATAAAATAATAGGATGGATTGGTTTTCGATCCGTGAAAAATATCGTTCGCCCTGTTACAAGTCGATTTTATCGGGATTCGTTGATGG